GAGTAGCTGGGTTGTACTGGATGCAAAGGATCAGGGAGAGGCAAGGTAAGCCTCGGAGCTCCAGAAAGAGGCTGGCGGGTGTTGCAGGATCAGGAAGCAGAGAGAGGTGGGGGGGGGGCCAGGTCCCGCAGAAGCAGTGCTCCTGGGGCCCAAGGAAGGCAGCAAGCTGGCCTGGATGAAAATGATCAGGAAGCAGCACCAGTTCCCCAAGTGTCTGGGGACCCAAGACCAGGAATGGCGCAGGGCCCAAACCAGGCAGAGAACAGCTGCGGAGATGGAAGGGCGAATGAGGCCGGGGGAGTCAATGCTCGGAGGGCTCCGCGATGGACCCACCCCGAGAGGCCTGAGGATAGGGTAGAAGGCCATTATTTTTTTAAAATTCAGAATGCTACTAGAATATCATGTCATTGGATAATTTGCCAGTAAGTCTATGGCAGTATTTATGCCACTGGAATTTCAAAGCAGCATATGAAGTAGCAAGACACTCTTCTTCAACATGGGATTCTATATTCATGGTGTATCTCTGGAAGAAGAATCAAGAAATTGGTAGTAATTGCCTAGGAAGGAGATTTTAAAAGGGCAGGGATTACAGTGTGAGGGAGAATTTTCACTTTATACCTTTTGGTGCTACTTTGAATTTCGTACCCCATATGTCTTGTTCAATGTTTGCTAAATAATAAAAGTAACATTTTACCCTTGACTCTATCAATTTCAAAGTTTGAAAGATTGTGTTTTTTTTCATTGACCTCCTATTTTGATGTTTTCTTTTCTTCTTTTTGTCTTTTTCTTTTTTGAGATAGGCTCTCATTTTGTAGTACAGGCTGGCCTCAAACTTACAGTCCCCCTGCTTTGATCTCCCATGAGCTGGGATTACAGGCAAGAGCCACCACCCCACACTAATGTTGCTTTTAGTCTCTCTACCTTGCTTTCCATATAATTTATAATTTGTTTTGCTGACTAAAAATGCAACCTTATTTGAGAATAAGATCTTTTGCCAGATTTCCTTACTATTGGTTACTGTGATACCTAGCAAGAAAAATTCCCAAGATGCAAATGGCTATAGTATTAACTTAAATGATTACTTCTCAAATGTGTTCGATTGTTTGCAGGTCCCATGGCTATTGGTTTCACCTGGGACATCATAACTCTCCTGATGACTTCTTCAGGCTCTTTAATTTGATTCATATTCTCTCTCTCTCTCTCTCTCTCTCTCTCTTTCTCTCTCTCATACACACCTTCTTTTCCTCTAATATTTTATTTTCTCCACATTGTGGCCAGCAATCTAACCATGTGATTATCAGTCAGGAGCTTTGTATGACCTCTATCTTCAGAAAGCCAAGACTCCTTTATGTGGCTTACTGAGCCTCTTTATCATCATCTCTCACCACCCTCCCCTTTCTGCTCAAGCTTTTCCATTCTTGGCACTCACAATGACCTCTCTGGAACAGTCTGTGACTCCACTACTGACTGACTAATTCTTCCTTACCTTTTAGTTCTCTTAGCTATGATATCTTTGGGGCCCTCACAGCACCTCCAATCTAGGTGAAGAAACTATGCTTAGTGCCCTGTGTATCTTTGCATTGCCTATTGTTTTGTTGCATAGTATTTTACTATCCCTTGTTCCCACACAAGACCCTCAGCTTCATGGAGATAAGAACATAGCCATACATTCATGACTATATCCCCAGAAGTCAGCACAGGCCCTGGAATGAGTGAACACTTGAGCTAATTAGTTACACTCAGGATAAAGTAACTATTTTTAATTATGTGTTGAAAAGTAAGATTGTTGTCATTTTTAATGGAGACTGACCTGACAGGAACTATAGAAAAGAAGGACCTTATTAGAATAACTTATTAAATCAATGTCAATATAGCTTTGCTTATAAACATTATCTTTGCTGAATTCCAGGAAGGAAGGCATTAGAATGTTTCCTTTGGGTTGAGGGTACGTTTGTATTCTGGGCACACTAGTGAGGCTAGCTTTGATGCTAGAAAATTCTCTTCTGTAGCCATCCTACCTGGAGTGAGGTTATGACACACTGGTTTTTATTTGTACTTCTCTGATGATTAGTGATGTTGAGCAACACCATTTGTATGTCTTCTTTTGAGAAATGTCATGTATGCCTTTTGTTGTTTTTTAAGTTGGACCATTTACTTTCTGCTGTTGATTTATTTGAGTCCTGTATATATTCTGGCTATTAACATCTTATTAGATATATAGTTTGCAAATACTTACTTCCCATTCTGTAGGCTGTATGTTCATTCTCCTGACTACTTCTTTTGCTGTGCAGAAGTTTTTAGTTTAATGAAATCCTCTCCCCTTTGCTTCTACTGCCTGTGCTCTTGAGGCCTTATCCAAAAATTTCTTACCATTCCAATATCCTGAATTGTTTCTCCTGTGTAATCTTCTAGTAGTTGCATAGATTTGGGTCTTACATTTAAGTGTTTAGTCCATTTTGAGCTAATCTTTTTTGTGATGTGGATCAAGCTCAGAGTCTTGTACACACTAATGCCTGACACTGAGCTGTACCTTAGCACCCTGATTTTTGTATGTAGTCAGAGATAAAGGGCAGTTTTGTTTTTGTTTTGTTTTTTTCCAGCACCATTTATTGAAGAGCCCATTCTTTCCTCAGTGTGTGCTCTTAGCAACTCTGTTGAAGGCAGGTGACTATACATGTGTTGTCAAGGATGTGAAGCCAAGAGAACTGTTACACACTGTTGGTGGAAATGTAAACCAGTACAGTCTTTATAGAAAACAGTTTGAAGGTTCTTAAGAAAAAAACACCTTAAAATAGAACTGCCATTTGAACCAGAAATCCCACTACTAAGTATATACCCAAAGGAAAACAAGTCAATATGTCAAAAAGATATGTTCACTTCCATTTTATTGCATCTATATTCACAGTAGCAAAGATACAGAATTAACCAGAATGTCAAATAAATGGACTCAGAAAATGTGGGATATGTAAACAATAGAACACTATTTAGCTATAAAAGAGTAAAGCCGACCATTTACAGCCACATGGACAAGTCTAGAGAAGCTTATACCAAGTAAAATAATCCAGATATAGAAGGACAAATATCACATAATGTCATTCATATGTGGAATCTAAAAAAAAACAGAACAGAACAAGAATTCATAGAGGCCAAGAGCAGAAGAGTGGTTGCCAGAGGCTGTGGAGGCAAGGGGAAAAGATGGCAAATGGGCAGAAAGTTGCAGATAGGTAGGAAGAATAGGTTCTGGAGCTGTATTGCACAGGTAAGGACGATTAACAATAATGGAGTGTGTACTTCAAAATAGCTAGAAGAAAGAAATTTGAATATTTCGTTGGAAAGAAATGATGAATGCTTAAGGTGATGGGTATACCAATTACCTTAATTCGATAATTATACAATGTATAATGCATTAAAATATCTCACTGTACCCCATCAATTTGTGCAATTATGTCCCAACTAACAATAGAAATAAGAAAATTCAGCAGTATAAGAATACCTGAGCACTGAATGTTATTTGATTAGGACCAAGTTTTCCTGAGAGTCATCTTTTGCATGTGCCTACTCTTTCTCTAATAGCTCTGCCTCTGCACAAAATATTCCTACACAGCCTCTTTCCAGTTCATAACATTTCATCCTAGTAAGAACACATTGCTTTTTACCTCTGAACAAAATGGTATGAAATCAGACCTGTATAAAATCATATATTATAGTGTGGTGGTTTGAATGAGAATCTCACCTGCAGGCTCCAAATATTTGGACATTTTGTCCCCAGTTGGTGGCACTGTTTTGGAAGGTTTCAGGAGGCATGGCCATGCTGGAGGAAGAATGTTACTAGGGGTGAGCTTTGAGAGTTCTGAAGCCTTGCCAGATTTCCAGTTCCACTCTGCTTCCTGTGCCTGCTTGAAGATGTGGTCACTTGGTTTTCTGCTCTGGCTACCTCCTCTATCATATATCCCCTGCCATTATGAACTCTTGCCCCTCTGGAACTATAAGCCAAATAAATTCTTCATTCTATACGTTGCCTTGGTCATGGTGTTTTATCACAGCAACAGAAGAGTAACTAATATAAAAATTGGTACCAGAGAGTGGGCTGTTGCTGTGAAGATCCTGACCATGTGTGTTTTTGAAAGAATGTGATAGACTTTAGAAGTTTAGACTAGAAAAGTAGTTGAATGCTATAAGCAGAGCTTAACAGGCCATTCTAGCAGGAGCCTGGAAGAAAGTAATGCTGAGAAAAAAGTAGTTCCAGAGGGAAATAAAAACTTAAACAGCAATTGGGATGCTTTGGCAAAGTATCTGGCTGCCATTTGCTCACATAAAAGCTTGCCTGATGCTAAGTTGAAAAGTAGTGGACTAATTTCTTTGGTGGAGGAAATTTCAAAACAGCCTAACATTGAATTTGTGACGTGGTGATGATTATGGGGATCTACAATGAAAAAGAGCAAATGGGGTAGAAAGAAATGTAGAATGTACAGTTTGGATTGAAAAAGGAGCACTAGAAAGATTAATGTTGGCAGGCCTGTGCTGAAGGAGAGGCTGTCTTTGATAAGGAGATTAGCACCATTAAGGGGAGGCCTAGAGATTTGCACTCAAAGGAAAGAGTACCTTCAGGGCAAGACATTACCCAACTAAGCTTCCAGTGTGTGAAAGGAAATTCACAGAGGGTTTTTCTACTCTTAAAAAAACACAGCATAAGCCAGGTGTGGTAGTCCCAGCACTTGGGAGACAGAAGCAGGTGAATCTCTGTGAGTTCAAGACCAGATTGGTCTACATAGTGAGTTCCAGGCCAGCTAAGGCTTTAGGGAGACCCCATTTCAAAAAAAACCAACCAACCAACCAACAAACAAACAAACAGACAAACCACAGCATAGAGAAGCTGCTAATGTGAATGAAGCAGGTCAGGGTCCATCCCAGGCTGGCAGCTGAACTTGACAGTGTCATTCATGTGGTGCTAGCTTTAGAAGCATGAAAAAGTGAATGGGTCATCAATTCTTCCTCTACAGTTTCAGAGAGCTGCGGAGGCCAGGCAGCATGCAATATGAATATCCCTGCATAAAGAAGGTTCTGATAGGTCAAGATGCCCCGACAAGCCACTGTGTGAAACTGTGAAGTTGAAGCCTGGTTGGCAATGGAGCCTCCTGGACACTGGAGATGTTAGAGCTGTGAAACATTTGCCAAAGAGAGCTCCATACAGGGAGTAGTGCCAGTCCAAGAGAGAGATGTATGTTGCATACCACAAAGCTAGAGGAGCTGAGACATCTAAGCTCTTTGGAAGTAAAAGTCTCAGAAGTTAGACATGGAGCTACTGGATTTGGTGTTTGCCCTGCTGGGTTTTGGTCTTGTTTTTGTCCAGTATTTCCTCAGTATGTCCCCATTCCTCTGTTTTGTAATGGGAATGTATATTCAGATCCATTATATGTTGGGAGTATGTAATCTGTCTTTTGATTTTACAGGGCTTACAGTTAAGAGATTGCCTTGAGTCTCAAAAGATACTTTGAACTCTGGACTTTTGAATAGTATTGAAACTATGCAAGACTATGGGGACTTTCAAGGTTGAATATAAAAGGTATTTTACATTTTATATGGTCACGAGCCCATGGAGGCCAGGGAGTGGAATGTGGTGGTTTGAATGAGAATATCACCCATAGGCTCCAAGTATTTGGACACTTTGTACCCAGCTGGTGGTGCTGTTTTGGGAGGTTTTAGAAGGTATGACCTTTCTGGAGGAAGCACATCCCTGGAGGCAGGCTTTGAAAGTTCTTCAGCCTTGCCAGATTTCCAGCTGTGCTCTGCTTCCTGTGCCTACTTGAAAATGTGAGGGCTCAGCTTTCTGCTCTGGCTGCCTATGCTGTCATGCCTCTCCACCTTGCTGGACTCTTATCCCTCTGTAAGCATAAAGGCCTCTGCCACCATGCCTCCCCACTATTATGGACTCTTTGCCTCTCTGGAACCATAAGTCAAATAAACTCTTCCTTCTATAAGTCACCTTGGTCATGGTGGTTTATCATAGCAACAGAAAAATAACTAATACATATAGTTCTTTGTTTCTAAGGGATCAAACATTTGTTTCTGTTTTTTTCTTCTCAGGGAAAAATTACAAAGTTAAATGTAACCAACAGGCCAAGTGTGGTGGCACACATCTGTAATTGTAGCACCTGGGAGACTGAGTCAGAAATATCACAAATTTATGTGGTATGATTTTTTTTTTCAAAATAGAAACGTGAACAATAGCATTAAGATTCAGAATAGTTTTAAATACAAGACTCTTGCTCTACATACATACATACATACATACATACATACATATGTATATACATACATACATATATTGGATAAAAAATAGATAAGAATTTTTAAAAAGTAGCAGTACATGCCAGGTGTGGTGGCACACGCCTTTAATCCCAGCACTTGGGAGGCAGAGGCAGGCAGATCTCTGTGAGTTCGAGGCCAGCCTGGTCTTCACAGTGAGTTCCAGGACAGCTGGGGCTACAGGGAGACCCTGTCCCAAAAAGGCCAAAAAAAAAAAAAAAAAAGTAACAGTACAATAAAATATTAAAGTTGATGGGACATGGGGTTATGATTAATTTCTGCTTTTTCCTATTTCTACAAGGAGAAGAACTGCAATTTTTCACAATCAGCAAAGATTAATAAACTTAAACAAAAGGCATGATGTATTTAATATGTTTCTGCTTCACTGCCAGATGCCTGAGGTTCCTCAGTCCTCAACTTAGGAATAAAATTAACACATCTTAACATTGGGCTACACTGTTCTATCCATAGCTAGTATAATGGCTCTCTCCCTCCCTCCTTCCCTCCCACCCTCCCTCCCTCCCTCCCTTCTTTTTTCCTTCTTTTACTTTCTTTGTTTTCCTTCCTTCCATCCTCTCTTCCCTCCCCTCCCTCCTCCTCTTCCTCTCTCCCCTCCCTTCTCCCCCCTCCCCATTCCCCTCCTCCTCCTCCTTTTTCTTCTTCTCGCTCCTTTCTTTGCTTATTCAGTGTGCTGTCCTTCCTTTTGGTGGTAATTCCATAGAAACTTTGCAGTCTTCAGCACATTATTCCTTGAGTGTCTGCCAGTTTTTGTCTTCATCAGTACTTGTATGCTCTAGGACATTCAGAAAATGAATTTAGGCCTCTCACACAACTGTGCATTCTAATAAAAATGAGGTATTACAGAAATCATTTCTCAAGAGCTTGCAGATGTTGCTTGATTTTTCTGACTACCGATTAAATTAGTCAATGATGGAGAAAGTACTTAGTACTTGTTCTGTAAATGCTCTTTCCTCCTGATGTTTGCATTGACTGTAAAAAGAACAAAGCAGTCTAGAACTGTTTTATTTTCTTTTTTTTCTTTCTATTCTACTTCTTTTTGTCTGTAACAATTCTTACCTAAACAAACAAGTTTAGTTACTTTGTAGATCACTGCATTAGGCAGGTTTCCATTACTATAACAAAATACTTGAGGCTAAAAACTTTGAAAGAGAAGAAAGATTTATTTTACTTCACAATTTCAGAGGTTTAACCCATAGTCACTTGGTCCAGTTGTCTTTGAGCTGTGGCAAAGCAGTATATCATGGCTGTTGTACATGATGCAAGAAGCTGTTTAAAAAAAAAAAAAAAAAAAAAAAAGCCAACTTCAGTTTCCCACAGTTTGAAAGCAGCTCTACTGTGGCCAGGGAGTGAGACAGAAGTATCACCTTGGGAGAAATAACTAGTACAATCAGCATACATACCTCAAATAACTCTGTATAAACTGCATTCAGTAGAAGAAACAGGAAGAAACAGGAATTCCCTGTTGGGTGTGTAGGCTTCCGACCATCAAAACCCCTTGTTACTTGGAACCTGCTTGTTTATTGCAACTTTTGAGCCATCCTGGTGCATTCTAAATTCTGATAACAATAATGACACACTATTTCAATGTTTATTTTTTATTTTTTTTAGACAGAGTCTGAAGTCTCCCAGGGTGATCTGGAACTTGCTATGTAGTCAAGGATGACCTTGATCATCTTGCCTCTACCTCCTGAGTGTTGAGATTATAGGCATACACCACCATGCCCAGTTTTTGCAGTTCTGGGGATAGAATCCAGGGTTTTGTTCATGTTAGGTAAACATTCTTCCAACTGAAAACATTTGTATGCCTTTTGGTATTGAGACAAGGCCTTCTACAGCCCCAGCTGGTCTGGAACTCACTAAGTAGACCAGGATGGCCTTGATCTCACAGAGATCCACCTGCCTCTGCCTCCCAAGTGCTGAGATTAAAGGTGTGTGCCACTGTACCTGGATTTGGTTTTTTTCTTTTTTTAAGTCAGGGTCTCATGTAGCACAGGCTAGTCTTAAATTTGAAAATCCTCTTGCTTCTACATCCTGAGTACTGGAATTACAGGTGTGCACACTATGTTTGTCTTTCTTTTATGTCTTTTCTTCCCTTTCTCTCTTCTTTCTTTTTTTCCTCCCTTCTTTTCTCCCTTCCTCCTTCCCTCCCGCCTTCCCTCCCTCCCTTCCTTCTTTTCTCTATGTGTGTATGCACACATAACAGAAAAGGGTATTGGATCCCTCAAAGCTGGAGTTACAGGTGTTTGGAGACTTAGCTTGCTATGTGAGCACTGGAATCCTAATTCTGAACTTCATGATTGAGGAGCAAGTGCTCTTAACAGCTGAGTCACCCCTCCAGCCCCCTTCTGTCTTTTTGATATCATATTTCTATTTTACTTTAGTTGATCTTATGGAAGAATTACTTCATCTCTGAAGAATTCATTGCTTTTCCCAAAGTGTCTCATGTAACTCAGCAGATTTTACCCACTCTCATGGGTCTAGTCACCATGTCTGTGCTAGTGGTTCCCAATCCTGCATCTTTTGCCCAAACCCTTCTCCTGAGCCTTGGATGAGCGATTACTAGGTCCATACCAGAAGGACTCCATGTGTTCATTTTCTTCCGATATCCTTCTCTTGTCTTCAGTATCCTATCTAGATGAACAGTCCCGCTCATTGCCTAGTTTCCTAACCCTGCCAGCTCTCATCTTTGACCTGCCCTACCCTTTATCTCCTCACCCAAATGCCAAGTCTTATGCATTCTGTTCACTAAGCAGATTTCAAATACTTTCTCTCCATTCCCACAGCCACTCACAGCTCAGGCTGCTTCCGCTTCTTGCCTCTTTCGTTACAAAGAGTCCTAAAACATGTCTTTGCCTTCAGTCCATCCTCAGAGATTCAATTTACACATTACAGTCAGAGTGACTATTCTAAACCACCACCTAATTTTGTCATTCTCCTGCTAGTGAGTGTGTGTGTGTGTGTGTGTGTGTGTGTGTGTGTGTGTACCCATTGCCTTCAGGATTAAGCCAAATTTCTTAGCCTGGCTTTCTAAGACTCTCATGATCTTCTTCTAGCTGTTTCTACGGCTTTATCCTCTCCCAGCTTCCCTTTCCCTGATGGGCAGCCCCTGCAATGAGCATCTTTCTGTGTGCTTTGTTACTTCCTGGTCTTTGCATAGACTGTGCTGCACACACCACTTAGAACACTCTGTCTTCTGTGTATTGTCTGATACTGGTTATCAACTACTCTGAGTTTCAGATCTCAGTGCAAATGCCACATCCCCTGGGGAGGCCTTCCCAGCACCTGGCCACTGTAGACTAAGGTACCCCTTCTATGCCCACAACACCCCATGCTCACTCCTGTCAGATCTTCATTTTGTATTTATTTTTGTCTACCTTACTAGATCACTAGCTCCCTGACAAATTCAGGGTCTTGTTATTTTAACATCTCTTGTAAGGTGATAGTGTAAAGATCTTGTAAAGGACCTAGTAGAGTCCTAGAACCAGTAAGCTCTCATTTCCTATTGGGTGAGCTAATGAATGAAGTTATAGAAGTGACAGGCTCCCTGGCTGTTGGAACATTTACAAATAAAGCTTGAGTTACTCTGAGTGGATTAACAAGTAAACCTTCAGACCTCTGCCAGATTGGGGAAATCAGGACTCTGATTTTCATGGAACTCCTGGCCTAGAATGACCGGTACCCACCCACAGTCATGCTGTTTACTGTGTGTGTGTGTGTGTGTGAAACCTAGACTTGGGTGGCATTCCTCAAGCACCACTTGATTTTTGAGATGGTCTCTCATAGGCCTGGAACTCTCCAAGTAGGCTGGGTTGGTTGGTCAGTGTGCCCCAGGGATCTGCCTGTCTTTACCTCCCCAGTGCTGGGATCACAGGTGCCTAGCTTTTTTTAATGTGGGTTCTGGGGAATTGAACCTTGATCCTCATGCTTGCATAACAAGCACTTTACGAACTGAGCTATCTCCCAACCCCTTAACCTCCAATTCTGACAGAAGCAATTTCATCCTCAAAATGAGTTACAGACTAGGCAAAGTGAACTTCCTATTCTTTTTTTTTTTTTTTTTTAAACCCGTTAGTGCTTAATGAACTGCTGTCTTTGGCTTCAAGCCACCAGGATCCAGACACTGCCAACATCCTTTATCTTCCTCTCAGTTCCTCCACTGAAGAGTTTATCCTTCACAATGACAAGCTGCTTAGGGAGCTTCCCTTCCCCTCAAAATTGGTACTAATCTTAGAAGAAAAAGATTTCCAATACACCTCAGCAGGTACCTACTCCAGAACGGGATGGGGAAACAGGCCTGCTGATGCAAACTGTCTAGGAGTCAGGTGGCCATGTTTCTGCTCCGGATACTGCAGGACCAATGATGCCAATGAATCAAGATTAGCAGATTCAGCTGGGCATGGTGGCGCACACCTTTAGTCCCACTACTTGGGAGGTAGGCGGATCTTTGTGAGTTCAAAGCCATCCTGGTCTACATAGAGAGTTCAGGCCAGCTGGGACTACAGGGAGACCCTGTCTCAAAAAGACAAAAAAAAAAAAAAAAAAAAAAAAAAAAAAGAAAGAAAGAAAGAAAAAGCAGATTCTTTTTGAGAACTTGGAACAAAGAGCTTGCCTCAGCCCTCTTCTTTTCTTGGCTGGGGTATTCATCTGAGGAATAAATGGTTTCAACCTTAGATTACAGAAAATCAAAGATTAGCACTGGATAACAATACAGGGACAGAGTGTTGATAGGAACATGCCAGAAACAGAGGTGAACAAGAGACAATGCCCCTGCTGTGTAGAAGAGTCAGACAAGCAACCAAATAAATCAACAAGATAAGATCAGAGAGTGATAAATGCTATGATGTCACAACAGGACCATCTGAGGGGGGAGGCAGCTGCTTTCAATTCAGGGTCAGGGAAGTACTCTTTGAAGGGACATCTGAGCTGAGACCTGGATGGTGAAGAGGAAATGGCATTTGAAGAAATGAAGGAAGAAAAATCATGTTGGAAGAAATAGCAAGTGCAAAGACTAAATCTGCCCGTGCAAGAAACAGAAAAGAGAGTGTTTGTGAGAGGCAGCACCGTTGCTGTGGAAGTTGGCTTATAGACTGTGGAGGGAGACTTGAACCCTGGGGAGGCGCACTAGAGGGCTCTAAGTAAATGATTGATTTTGCCTAAATATCCTTAAATATGAACTGAAAAAATAGGAGCTAAAACTGAAAAACAAAACGAAAACAACTACTTTTGAATACCTCCCACTTAAACAAAAACCATGAGTTTGTGCCTTGTTATGTTCCAGTACTCAGGACGAATTGTTGACATATTAAATGCATTTGTGACATGTTTTATGTCTTCAACTAAAGAAGTTAGAAATATTGCCATTAGCAGCAGTGCTAGGTGAACAATGAACATTCCCTGCATATTTTAATTTCTTTTTATGCTGTTCCTACCCAATGGGAGATTAGAAAGTAATTTTGTTTAAGAGCTAAAATTAAAGCAATTACTAATTTTAACTTATTCTCCCAGGTGGTTATTGCAATTAAAATCAGAACCTCTAACAGTCACATCTAACCAGAATTCAGAGCTTTTAAGTCCTTCATTCTAGAACTTTGGGCAAAGGGCTGACATTTGGCAAATCTTCTCCACTTAATTGTGTCATACACAGCCTTTCTAGTGAATCTGTAAGGCTTAAAGGTGAATTGAATCTGAATGTAATTATGTGGGCAACATTCCTTGCTGGGAAATGTTATCTACATAGTGTTTATTAGTGATTATAAAGTGTGGTTTGTTATCTATAATTCAGAAATGTTGTGGGGTTCTCTGTCAAAATAAAAACTTAATGTATTGTAGTGCTGAAAAAATATTTTTTTTCCTGAGTACCTCAAAGCATTTCACCCATGTTTTCTCATTTGTCCTCACCATTTCCCCAAGGTAAGTGGATGGAAAGTTTTATGCACAGGCAACAGGCTCAGGAACAAGGCCAAGAGAAATGAATGAACATGCCCAAGGTCATGGACTACATCAGAGGCAGGGGAGGGATGAATCTCAGGTCTTTTAATTCCCAGGGATCTGGCATTCTGTAATGTCAGCCAGGTACCAAACCAGTTCTTGTTTGGTTTAGTACCCTTGAGTCTCCATGTCTATGGTTACAGTGAACGAATAAGACATCTGTTCTCCGGTACGTCTCTGCATCTGAGGTTTACACTGGCAAAGATCTCAACTGTTATTTTTAGCTCCTTGTTTTTCTTTTAACTGCTGTTTATAAATGATGACATTTGAGGTTTAAAAATGTGGTAAAATTAAAATATTTACCTCATATATTGCATGTGGGTTGTCTGTGTAGCAACCTATACTTGCTGTAGTAACAAGTTCCCTTGTTTAGGGAACTAGAAATAATTCCCCTCTCTTTATTGTTCATTGAATGGTTTTCCTCCATAATAGGGTATTTAAGCCTCTGGATGCTTGTAAAAAGTAAAAGCTATTTAAGCTTTGAGTTTTAGACATTTTTGATGTTTGCATATTCTCTCACATTCATATATCTTCTCCTTTCCCCACTTTTTGCTTTGTTTTGTTTTTG